ATGGCGTGAACCCGGGAGGCGGAGCTTGTAGTGAGCTGAGATCTGGCCACTGCACTCCAGCCTGGGCGACAGAGCGAAACTCCGTCTCAAAAAAATAAATAAATAAATAAAAAATAAACATGGTGTGTTAGACCATTCTTGCATTGCTATAAAGAAATACCTGAGACTAGGTACTTTATAAGAAAAGAGGTTCCTGGAGGCTGTACAGGAAGCATAGCAGTATCTGCTCCTCAAGAGACCTTAGGAAGCTTTTACTCATGGCAGAAGGTGAAGCAGGAATAGGCACTTCACATGGCAAAAGCAAGGGCGGGAGAGAGAGAGATTGGAGGAGGTGTCACAGAGAGAGAGTGGGGGAGGTGTCACATGCTTTTAAACTACCAAATGTTGTGTGAATTCACTATCAAGAGGACAGCAGCAAGAGAGTGGTGCTAAACCATTCATGATCGAATCACTTCCCACCAGGCCCCACCTCCAGTACTGAGGATTATAATTCAGTGTGAGATTTGGAAGGAGACAAATATACAAAATGTATGACATGCGTACCTTCTGTGATTGCCATCAGCTTTCTACACCTCATTCTCTTTTTAAACCAGAAAATGGTATCATTGTTAAAGGAAAAGTGTTTTCTTGTTCTAATGAGAAACTGTACTCTGGAATGGTATGAGTTACTGATGAATGGGGAAAAAAGAAGGCTACCTCTGGAGTAAGTTTTCTTTAACTCAGAATCTTTTTTTTTTTCTCTGTTTTTTTTTGTTGTTGAGATGGCTAGTTCTCACTCTGTCACCCAGCCTGGGTACAGGTGGTGTGATCTCAGCTCACTGCAACCTCCACTTCGCTGGGTTCACAGTAATGCTCTTGCCTCAGCCTCCCCAGTAGCTGTGGATTACCAGGTACCCACCACCCACGCCGCAGGGGAGCTAATTTTTTGTGAGGTGTCTAGGTTCAGACGGCTTGCGACCGTGTTGGGCCAAGCTCGCTGCTGGAAACTCTGCCTCAAGTGATCTGCCACCTCAGCCTCCCACACAATGCTGGGATTTGCAGGCGGTGCAACCACCATGCCGCGAGTCTAACTCAGTTAGAATCTTGATTGATTATTGTTAAAAAAAGGAAGCATGTTTCATCTTAAGTAAGTGTCTACCACCCAGGGTTACTGGTAGAACATAGGTTGCAATTCTTTGCTGGAAGATGAATTGTTGATGTTGCTGTGAATGACAGACTTGAGCTCATAATAGAAGATTTTAGAGGCCCTCATTAGGGATCTCAGGGCAACCTATAGGTAATGTTTATTTGTTTCTCCTCTTTCTAGGGCTCAGTTGGTATTTGTGAAGGACAGTGAATGTCTCTCGCTCGCTCGGCATGCTAAATCAGGTAAGACGCGTAGAAGAGGGTGGGGAACCATATATATTTATGGAGGGACTGTCTTCTTGATGCAATTCAGTTGGATGATAGAATCCCCTAGTGCCTCAATCTTAAGAAGTGTTTTTCTTTTACCTTTTTTTTTTTTTTAATTTTGTCTTTTTCTTTTTGAGCTGGCTAGTCTCACTTCACTCCCAGTGGGCTGGAGTACAGTGGGCACGATCTCGGCTGTCACTGTAACCTCTGGCTCCCGGGTTCAAGCAGTTCTCCTGCCTCAGGCTCCGAGTAGCTTGGGTACTAGCCAATGCACCGACCATACCAGCTAATTTTTTGTATTTTCGTAGAGACAAGGTTTCTTGCCGCATGTGACCAGGGCTGGTCTCGATAACTCGTGACCTCATAGTGGCTCTGACCGCCTCAGCCTCCAAAGTGCTCGGTTACAGGTTGAACCGCATGCCCTGCTAAAAGTTCCTTCCGTTTATATACACTTATAAATATATTAAAAATCATATATGTATATATAATATCATGAATTATACTAAACTATTTACAATATCTCCCCTCTCTCCCCCTCATGCGATATGTCCCATATAATTTATAACTCAGCTGCAGCATGATATCGATATCATATATATTCATATATCATGTGATATGATCATCATGGTTATGATATACGCCGTACAAACAAATAAGAATAAGAAAGAATTGTATTATTCTATCGATGATGATATGAATATAGTACAGGGTAACATTACTCGAGATATATGGTGAAAATATAAATATAATATTATGTAATTCACATACATAAAATAGAAAAATAACAAAATCATAAGAAAAGACAAAGCCCAAAGATAATGAATAACTATCATCATTATAATTATATTTTATTAGTTTACATCTTTAGGGTCATGAAATTCCTCTATATTATTTTTTTTATACGTATGTAATACTTGACTAGGATATATATTTCTACACCAGCATTATTTGTTTACTATATTGAATATATGTATTTTTTCTATATATTTATATATTTTTTCAGACAGAGTCCTTGCTGCCTGTCGCCCAGGCTGGAGTGCAGTGGCGACCGATCTGGCGGCTCACTGCAGATCTCCGTCTCCTGGGGTTTAAGTGATTCTCCCTGTCTCAGCCTCCCAAGTAGCTGGGATTACAGGGTGCCCACCACCATGCCCAGCTAATTTTTGCATTTTTAATAGAGATGGGGTTTCACCATGTTGGCCAGGCTGGTCTCGAACCCTTGACCTCAGGCGATCCACCTGCCTTGGCCTCCCAATGCTGGGATTACAGGCGTGAGCCACCGTGCCCTGCCTTCTCTAAGAATTTTCTAAGTGTATGGCTTATAAAAAACTTTTATAACTGTTAACTCTCTGTTCATATCCTTTTGCACTTTTTTTTTTTTAAGAGACAGGATCTTGTTCTGTCACCCAGGCTGGAGTGCAGTTGGTGCAGTCAAAGCCCACGGCAACCTTGAACTTCTGGGCTCCAGCAATCCTCCCACCTAAGCTTCCTGAGTAGCTAGGACTTCAGGCACATGCCACGAAGCCTGACTAATTTTTAAATTTTTTATGGAGATGAGAATCTCACTATGTTGAATAGGTGGTCTTGAATTCTTGGCCTCAAGTGATCCTCCTGCCTTGTCCTCATGAGGCACTGGAATTACAGGGATGAGCCACTGGGACAAGCTGTTTTGCACATTTTCTAAAAAGGTGTTGGTCCTTTTCTTACTGGTTTCAAGGAACTTTATATAATATGGAGAATAGCCGTTTGTCTGTAACATAAATCGCTTATATGTTTTCCAGATTTGTCATTTACCTTTTGGTTTTCTTTGTAGTACACTTTTTGCCCATATTGAAGCTTTAAATTTTTTCTATAGTTAAATTTATTAATTTTTCATTTAAAAAAATTTTTTTTTTTTTTTTTTAAGAGACAGTGTCTTGCTATGTTGCTCAGGCTGGCCTGGCCTTGAACTTGTGGCCTCATGTGATCCTCCAACCTCAGCCTCCCAAGTAGCTGAGACTACATGCATCTGTCCCCAAGCCCAGCTTTCTTTTTAATCAAACTTTTTCTCTTGTTTATCTTTGTGTTTTGAGTAGATAATACATTTGCCTCATTAATATATTTCCTGGATATGACTTCATATTTGAATTTACTGATCCAACATACGTAATTTTAACAACTAACTAGTATTTCTTTGTTACTATTTCTTCTACTTAAAATACCACAGGCAGATAGAAAATACCTTAAGGTTGGCTGGGCACAGTGGCTCACGCCTGTAATTCCAATACTTTGGGAGGCTGAGGTGGGCAGATCACCTGATGTCGGGAGTTCGAGACCAGCCTGACCAACATGGAGAAATCCCATCTCTACTAAAAATACAGAATTAGGTGTGATGGCACATGCCTGTAATCCCAGCTACTTGGGAGCTTGAGGCACGAGAATCGCTTGAACCCGGGAGGCAGAGGTTGCAGTGAGCCAAGATTGCACCATGGCACTCCAGCCTGGGCAACAAGAGCAAAACTCCGTCTCAAAAAAGGAAAATACCTTAAGGTGGCCAGGTATGGTGGCTCATGCCTGTCATCATAGCACTTTCGGAGGCCAAGGCTGGAGAATCACTTCAGGTCAGGAGTTCAAGATTAGCCTGGGCAACATGGTGAAATCTTGTCTCTACAAAAAAATACAAAAACACCTGGGCATGGGCCAGCTACTTTGGAGGCTGAGGTGGGAGGATTGCTTGAGCCTGGGAGGTTGATGCTGCAGTGAGCTGTGATTGAGCCATTGCACTTCAGCCTGGGTGACAGAGGGAAACCCTGTCTCAAAAAAACAAAAACAAAAACAAAGACCATATACATTTTTTAAAGGAAAAGAAAATATCAAGCCAGGCGTGGTGGCTCATGCCTGTAATCCCAGCACTTTGGGAGGCCGAGGCAGGCAGATCATTTGAGTCAGGAGTTCAAGACCAGCCTAGCCAACATGTTGAAACTCCGTCTCTAAAAATACAAAATTAGTCTGACTCGGTGGCGTGCACCTGTAATCCCAGCTACTAGGAAGACTGAGGCACGAGAAATTGCTTGAACCTGGGACACGGAGGTAGCAGTGAGCGGAGATTGTACCACTGCACTCCAGCCTGGGCGACAGAGCAAGACTCCGTCTCAAAAAAAAAAAAATTATCTTAGGCTCCTTTTTGTTCTAACATCTAATGACCTTTTTTTTTCACCAGTGGGCTAAGGTCATACAGTGGCTTTAGAATGTGAGCAAGCAGGAGATAGAATTAGGAAGAGGCAGCATGCTTAACAAAGAAGAATGCCTCCATATCCAGCGCTTAGCCATACAACACCAGCTGCTGTGCCTTATCATGGACTTCTCTCTCTCTTCACTCTGAGTGATTTACTTACAGATAACTCTTTTTAGATACTGGCCATATTCTCTCTCAGTATCTCCAAGTCAGGTCAGGTTAGGTATGGGACAGATGAGGCAGTGGTTTTGCATATCCCTTGTCCCCTCCCAGTATTGCACTGCTCTCAGCTCATTGTCAAATTTCTGCAACTGACAAACAAAAGTTGTGAGTAGAACTGTCAAGGAGTAAGTCATTTAACAGTTGAGCGTAACAGTTTTAGACCTTTGGAGCATCAAAATTGTTTTCATTTGGGAAATAATTATTGGGAGTGGATTGGGAGCTGGAAAACACAGATAGCTTAGAAAATATCTAAATAGGGAGCTGAGGCAGGAAAAAACAGGAGGAGCCATTCAATGTAGGATATTTGAGGTTGGATAGAGGGTTTAGGAAGCTTCTAGGCTCCCATTTTAATTCCTAAGAATCCAAAGTTTAATGTATAAGCCCTATTTCTTCTTTATATCTTTAATCAACTGGCACCTGTGATGAGGGATGAGTTATTGGTTTATGTGCTTTCCATTTGCAAAACTCTGCTTTTTTTGTTTTTGTGTTCACTCAACATAGACCAATCTCCAGTTCAACAACAACAAGTACTATCTGATTCAGCTATTAGAAGATGATGCCCAGAGGAACTTCAGTGTTTGGATGAGATGGGGCCGAGGTAATGATTTTTATTGAGATTTTATGAGTTGGCATTCAGAAAGTCAGAAGTAGCTTAGTGGGTGGCCAAAGGATTCTCTGGGTTTAAATTGGGTCAGTAGAGGCTCTGAAGTCTGGGAGAGGCTTAGGAACAAGTTGAGCATCTTGAAATTGGGGAATGGCAGGCATCCTCCTTAGAGTTCCCACTGGAAAAACTAAGAGCAGCCCATTGAGGCTGAAAATTCTTCTATAGTTGAACTGCTAGCAGTGCTCATAGACTATCGCTGTTAGCAGGTAACTTGCATCAACATGATTAGTTCCCTAAATCCTTTCACCTTTCCCTTCTCCCTTTCCTGCCTGTTTGTCAGATGTTAAACAGAGAGACCTTGGAGAGCTGGCCTGTTACTATTAGGAAATTATCTTACGTGTGGCATTTACTTTGCAGTTGGGAAAATGGGACAGCACAGCCTGGTGGCTTGTTCAGGCAATCTCAACAAGGCCAAGGAAATCTTTGAGAAGAAGTGAGTGCTAAAAAGTGACTACAAGAAAATATACCCTCTTCTTAGATGTATCTACTCTAAGAATTTTGGAGTTTTGCTCTTGTTGGCCCAGGCTGGAGTGCAATGGCACAACTTCAGCTCACTGCAACCTCCGCCTCCTGGGTTTAAGCAATTCTCCTGCCTCAGCATCCTGAGTAGCTGGGATTACAGGTGCCCACCACCACACCCAGCTAATTTTTGTATTTTTTAATAGAGATGGGGTTTCGCAATGTAGGCCAGGCTGGTCTCAAACCCCTGACCTCAGGTGATCCACCTGCCTTGGCCTCCCAAAGTACTGGGAATATAGGCATGAGCCACCGTGCCCTGCCTTCTCTAAGAATTTTATAAGTGTGTGGCTTATAAAAAGCTTTTCCTTTTATAGGTGTGATTTGGCCTAAATGTTAATGTCTTTTCACCCTGACATTCTGTGGTCGAAACACCAAACTGCATCCTTAGTGATTAAATCAAACTAGAACTTTGAAAGTCACTAAAAACAGAATAATATATTTAACACATGGCTGACAAATTTAGGAAATTTGGGATAAGTGGAGACTATCATAGGGTAGAGAATATTCAGCTAGGGGCTGAGCACGGTGGCTCATGCCTTAAATCCCAGCACTTTGGGAGGCTGAGGCAGGAGCATTGCTTAAAGCTAGGAGTTTGAGACCAGCCTGGGCAACAAAGCGAGACCCCTGACTCTCCCAAAAAAAAAGGAAAGAAAGAAAGAAAAAAGAATATTCAGTTAGAGTTTTTAAAACTTTAACTCTGATATAGATGAAGAACTTTCTGGAGAATTTAGGAACATGTTTCTTTCAGGGAAAGGGATTAGATGGATATCTTTTGTTTAAAATCTCAATGGCTTTTGTGGTGTTTGGGAAGGACAAGCATTGTTTTTCCCCATTTTTTAAATTCCATTTGTCTCCAGAGCTTTTTTATCCATTTAGTGTCCTCACTTAGAATTAGACTAATTTTGATTTATGGAAAGGTGACGTGTAAAGGAGCTCAGTGGTGGAAAATAAATTATTTGGAGATTTTCTGTCTAAGGAAACAGTTGTAAGTCCTTCTTCATAGTAGACCTTTATTTGTAAGGTTTTCTTACACTTTGGACTCTACAGATTCCTTGACAAAACAAAAAACAATTGGGAAGATCGAGAAAAGTTTGAGAAGGTGCCTGGAAAATATGATATGCTACAGATGGACTATGCCACCAATACTCAGGTAACTCTCACTATACTTTTCGGAGGAAACCCATCTTCTTTTTTTATTTTATTTTATTTTTTAGAGGCAAAATTGTGCTCTGTTGCCCAGGCTGGAGTGCAGTGGCACAATCATGGCTTACTGCAGCCTCAAGATCCCTAGGCTCAAGTGATCCTCCTACCTCAGCCTCCTTAGTATCAGGGACTACAGGCACGTGCCACTCTGCCCAGCTGATTTTATTTTATTTTTTTTTTTGTAAAGATAAGGTTTCACTATGTTGCCTAGGCTGGTCTCAAATTCCTGTGCTCAAGCAGTCCTCCTGTCTTGGCCTCCCAAAGTCCTGAGATTACAGGCATGAGGCACCACACCTACTCCTGTTTCTTCTTACTCAGGATAAAGCAGAATAGCTTAGATCATTCCTAGACTGGGACAGGCCAGGATATCTTGAGTCCTTTCTACTTCTCACCTCAGGGGTGTTCTCACTGATCTTTGTAATCCCGAAGGGACAGTAAGAATGAGGATAGAATGTGCCTTTCTACTCTCGGCTGTTATTTACTAAGGTTCTTTTTTTTTTTTTGGGGATGGAGTTTCATTCTTGTTGCCCAGGCTGGAGTGTAATGGCTCAGTCTTGGCTCACTGCAACCTCCAGCTCCTGGGTTCAAGCGATTCTCCTGCCTCTGCCTCTCAAGTAGCTGGGATTACAGGTGCCTGCCACCATGCCCGGCTAATGTGTTTTGTATTTTTAGTAGAGACGGGGTTTCACTATGTTGGCCAGTCTGGTCTTGAACTCGTGACCTTGGGTGATCCACCCGCCTCAGCTTCCCAAAGTGCTGGGATTACAGACGTGAGCTACCACGCCGGGCCTACTAAGGTTCTTATAAAATCTTAGGCCCTATTTCCAGAAGTTTATTGTTAGGACCAAGAGAGGAGTAATAATAAATCAAACTGATTAAACAATTACATTTAAATTTCTCTTCACTTCTGGATATATACCACCATAAAAAAATTAATTTAGATAAACTGAGGTATACCAGGATTCTGAAAGTGTCCTGAAACAGTCACATATCCAAAAAAATGGAGAAGTTTTAGTCTTTTTTAAGATGGGAAGATCTGAGCCATAATAGCTATCTTTATACACTGACTTAATGAGGAAAGCCTTTTTTTCCTAGACTTATTCTGAGTTGTAAAATGTGGGAGGCAGAACTAGTATGGTTAACCCTCTGTATCTATGGATTCAATGAACTGAGGATCAAAAATATTTGAAAAAAGAAATTGCTTCTGTACCGAACCTGTACAGTCTTTTTTTCCTTGCTTGTCATTATTTCCTAGACAATGCAATATAAAAACTTCACAAAGCATTTACATTGTATAATATTGAGTGTTATAAGGAATCTAGAGATGATTTCTTAGATTTTCTTTTGTTTGTTTGTTTTTTGCTATAGGATGAAGAGGAAACAAAGAAAGAGGAATCTCTTAAATCTCCCTTGAAGCCAGAGTCACAGCTGGATCTTCGGGTACAGGAGTTAATAAAGTTAATCTGTAATGTTCAGGCCATGGAAGAAATGATGATGGAAATGAAGTATAATACCAAGAAAGCCCCACTTGGTAGGACTTCACATTTTCTTCTGCGTTCTCTCCTCATAATTCCTAGTTCCTTTAATGGATATTTTATTATCATTATGATTTAAAGCTTGCCGATAGTACTGAATGAAGAAAATGGGGTTTGGGGTGACAGGTTGTATGGAGGGAGGAGGAGCTATTTTGAAAGTTGAGGCTGGGTGTGGTGGGTCATGCCTATAATCCCAACACTTATAGGGAGGCCAAGGCAGGTGAATTGCTTGAGCCCAGGAGTTTGAAACCAGCCTGGGCAACATGGCAAGACCCCATCTCTACTAAAAATAGAAAAATTAGCCAGGCATGGTGGTGTGTGCCTGTGATCCAGCTACTTGGGAAGCTGAGGCGGGAGGATCACCCGAGCCCGGGAAGTTGAGCTGCATTAAGCTGTGTTCATGTCACGGCACTCAGCCTGGGCAACGGGAGTGAGACCCCATCCCAAAAAAAGAAAAAAAAAAGTTGAAAGGTGAAAGTCTTTTTTAGGCAAGGACGTAAGTACAGTTCACTAGCTGGGATCCTCGTTTGGAGTCTGATCTCTGACTGGGCCTGCAGGGAAGCTGACAGTGGCACAAATCAAGGCAGGTTACCAGTCTCTTAAGAAGATTGAGGATTGTATTCGGGCTGGCCAGCATGGACGACCTCTCATGGAAGCATGCAGTGAATTCTACACCAGGATTCCGCATGACTTTGGGTAAGGCCTGTGCTGTTACTTCACTTTGTTCTTCTACCTATACATATCCCCTGTATCTATCAGCAGCAGCTATAATCTTCTGAATCTTTTATTCCTAAGAAAATGATCATCTTGAATACATACAGAAACAAAGTGATACATAGGTAGCCTATTTAATCAGCTTACAAATAGGGGATGCAATCTCCTGGCTTGACCACAGCCATATTCTCTGACAAAGTGGAAGTTACCAACCCAAGAGAGAATGGGTCTAAATATCCAACCACCAAGTAAAACACCTTCAGGCACATCACCCCCTTTTCCTATTTGAGGTGACTAAAACCACACAAACACCATTTCTGTGAACTCAAGTGATATTAGATAGACAAAATAACATTTTACATTTGTTGATTCTGTTTTCTGGTTTTCATCCTATTTCTATTTCTTTTATTGCTTTGTAGAGCCCTGTGACCTAGAAATAACCCTGAGTGGTCAACAGGTCTACTGAGATAGAACTATATCCAAACTCTTCCTTGTTGATATTGATATAATTTTAAAATGATTTGATAAAAAAAGAATTCTAACTCTAGTCTCAAAAGTCAAAATCCACGTAGTTCATCTTATACCGAGTATATATTTAATATTTTATATATTTGGAAGTTAAGATCTCTTTACAGATCTCTTTCTCTCTCAAATGGAAAACCTGTTTCTCATACCTGTTTTCTAAAGGACCTATCTGTCATTTTCTATTTTTAGTCATGTGCCTTTTAGCCACATGTCAGAAAGCTCATTATGGGTTATATCTCTGTTCTTAGACTCCGTACTCCTCCACTAATCCGGACACAGAAGGAACTGTCAGAAAAAATACAATTACTAGAGGTGAGATATGTATGAATTGAGAAGTATTATATCCCTTATACCAGTTTCCTCCCACATTAATTCTATATCTCATCTCAGGCTTTGGGAGACATTGAAATTGCTATTAAGCTGGTGAAAACAGAGCTACAAAGCCCAGAACACCCATTGGACCAACACTATAGAAACCTACATTGTGCCTTGCGCCCTCTTGACCATGAAAGTTATGAGTTCAAAGTAAGAAAAATGATCATTTATTTTCATACTCTTGCACCCTTAAGACCACCTCCCCCATCCCACTGATCTCTAACTACTTCTGGTCAAGAGCAAATTGTCAATTAGGGCAGACTTTTTATGTACTAGGGATTTGGGAAGGCCAAGCTTTTCCTAGCTGCCTTGTAAGACTGTTTGGGAGCAGAAAGGTGTGCCAAGTTAAATCAGAATCCCCAAATTCTTCAGTTCAGCTCAGTCTCTTGTAGAGTCCACATTGGCCTTTTTGTCTTATTTTTCACAGGTTATTTCCCAGTACCTACAATCTACCCATGCTCCCACACACAGCGACTATACCATGACCTTGCTGGATTTGTTTGAAGTAGAGAAGGAGGGTGAGAAAGAAGCCTTCAGAGAGGACCTTCATAACAGGTCTGAGTCTAACTTTGGGTTTGGAAAGACACTCCTTGCCCAAAAGTGCAGCTATAGAACTTATAAGAGGGAGTCAGAGGAAGGTGTCAGCTTTTTTATGCTTATGACCTATCTGTGCAGAACAACAGAGTACAATAATACTGGCTTTTCCTTAGGATGCTTCTATGGCATGGTTCCAGGCTGAGTAACTGGGTGGGAATCTTGAGCCATGGGCTTCGAATTGCCCCACCTGAAGCTCCCATCACAGGTTACATGGTGAGTGAAATTGAACTCTGTTAGGTGCACAGGGGAAAAGGATACAGTAATGTTCCCAGTGCTTTTTTTCCTAGATTAGGATTAGGTGGTTCGCCTCCCCAAGAGTTAAGCCAGCTCACTGATAACCTTGTCATCTCTTACTGTGTCCCTCTTTCTTTAAATTCCTGAAGATACCTCACCTTTCCCTCAGAAGGCAGAAATTCACAGGTGCTTCTACCCTCTCTAGAACAGAATTGTGAGGGGAAATGGAGAAGGGTCTATATTGTGTTTAAGGGAATGGAAAAACAGGGTCAGTGGTATGCACTTTCTCTCTAACACATTGGGTTAGAAGCTGACCTTGGTATTCATTTATATATTTCAGTTTGGGAAAGGAATCTACTTTGCTGACATGTCTTCCAAGAGTGCCAATTACTGCTTTGCCTCTCACCTAAAGAATATAGGACTGCTGCTCTTATCAGAGGTGAGGCAGGAGTATGTCTGTGATCTCTAGTTTATTCCAGTTTTTTTCCAATGAGAAAAGTTTGACCCCAGAACCAAGAAGTTTACCTGGGATAACTTGAGAGAGGACCAAGTACAATTTCTGGTACATTGGATTCCTCTGCTGGAGTAGGGGGAAAAAAGTACTGATGGGATTTTCTGTTTGGCTTTGGAGCCATCTAATTCTTAGTAGGATATGGGAATTCAAAGGTTTTTTGCTTTGCAGGTAGCTCTAGGTCAGTGTAATGAACTACTAGAGGCCAATCCTAAGGCCGAAGGATTGCTTCAAGGTAAACACAGCACCAAGGGGCTGGGCAAGATGGCTCCCAGTTCTGCCCACTTCGTCACCCTGTAAGTACTCAGAACCAGGAGGGCTAGAAGACTCCTTTTGGCTGGATAAAACTATGTTCTCTATTCCAGCTTCTGAACCAGAGACTGATGTTGACACACTTTTTTTCCATTTGGCAGGAATGGGAGTACAGTGCCATTAGGACCAGCAAGTGACACAGGAATTCTGAATCCAGATGGTTATACCCTCAACTACAATGAATATATTGTCTATAACCCCAACCAGGTCCGTATGCGGTACCTGTTAAAGGTTCAGTTTAATTTCCTGCAGCTGTGGTGAATGTTGATATTAAATAAACCAGAGATCTGATCTTCAAGCAAGAAAATAAGCAGTGGTATACTTGTGAATTTTGAGATATTTTATGTAAATAAAAACTGTACAAGTCTACCACTGGCTTCTTCGGGCTTTATTTCTCCAAGAACATATTTCTTCTGACGTTAGTAGATCTCCCTTTTCAGGACAGAAAGTACTCATTGTTCTGAGGGTTATTCAGTATCCTATTCTTAATGGCATCTGTGCATCAAGGGACACTAATGGGGGCGCAAATGCTTTTACCTGTTTAATTCAATTTTTCTGCAAACTGTAATTTGGTGAATGTTATCGCAGGAAGGGTAAAGGCAACAAAGGCTAAGCTGTTTTTTTCTTTCCCATCCACATGTATTCACTTGCCTTTTTCCAATTTATCCACTGCAGCCCAGTCTCCCACTACTCAACACTAGGACTCATCACATGTCCAAAAATTTGGGAAGCCCTTGGAGGACTGTCACTAAGTCTGAATACATCTTGAGGAGGAAAGGAAAAAAGTAGAATGAGTTTTTACATACCCTGCCCCATCTAAGAAGTACTAAAGTCCAGATCAGATCCTGATATGGTTAGGCTTTGTGTCCCCACCCAAATCTCATCTTGAATTGTAATCCCCAGAATCCCCACATTTCAAGGGAGAGACCAGGTGGAGGTAACTGAATCATGGGGGCGGTTTCCCCCATGCTATTCTTGTGATAGTTCTCACAAGATCTGATGGTTTTATAAGGGGCTCTTCCTGCTTCGCTCGGCACTTCTTCCTGCCACCCTGTGAAGAAGGGCTTCCCCTTCACCTTCCTCTATAACTGTTAAGTTTCCTGAGGCCTCCTCAGCCATGGTGAACTGTGAGTCAAACCTCTTTCCTTTATAAATTACCCAGTCTCGGGCAGTTCCTTATAGCAGTGTGAAAACAGACTAAAACCAAATTGAAGAACATTCTACAACATTCTTCATCACTCTTGTTACCCAGGCTGGAGTGCAGTGGTGCGATACTCGGGAGACTGGGGCAGGAGGATCACTGAGCCCTAGAGGCCTAGGTTGCGGTGAGCTGTGATTGCACCACCACACTCCAGCTTGGGCAACAGACTGAGACCCTGTCTCAAGAATAAATAAATAAATTTATTTATTTTTTAAAAGTGTCGATTTTGAAGACTGAAAAGCTGTCACAGTTGGAGGAGACTAAGAAAACGCGATGACTAAATGCAATGTGGGATCCTGGACTGGCTTCTGGAACAAAACAAAGTCATTAGCGGAAAAAATGGGCAAATCCAAATCCTGACTGTAATTTAATTAACATTTGTTAATTAACTTCGTTGTAATTTAATTAACAAATGTTAATTTCCTAGTTTTGATAAACGTAGCATGGTTATGTAAGATGTTAACATTAGAAGAAGCTGGGTGAAGGGTATCGAGGAACACTTGGTACTATCTTTGCAACTCTTCTGTAAATCTTACATTTCTTTTAATTTTTTTGAGACAGAATTTTGCTCTTGTTGCTGAGGCTGCAGTGCAATGGTGCGATCTCGGCTCACTGCAATCTCCACCTCCAGAGTTCAAGCGATTCTCCTGCCTCAGCCTCCAGAGTAGCTGGGATTACAGGTGCATGCCACCATGCCCAGCTAATTTTTGTATTTTTAATAGAGACAGGGTTTCACCATGCTGGCCAGGCTGGTCTTGAATTCCTGATCTCAGGTGGTCTGCCCACCTCGGCCTCCCAAAGTGCTGGGATTACAGGCGTGAGCCACTGTGCCCGGCCTAAATCTTACATTATTAAAAAAGAAGGATTAAGAGCCATTCTAGTGGGAAAGCACCAACACAGATATGTTCTTTGGGGATGCTATCTGTGTATTGGTTCCTGGTTCTTCAGACACATCGTAGGATACTTCCTCCCCATCCTTTGACATTAGGTATGGCCATGTGACTTGCTTTGCTTGTATTTATGAAATATGAGTGGAAGTGATGTGTTTTATTTCCATGTAGAAGATTTAAGAGTTACTTGCCACGTGAAGCACAGATCTCAAAGTATGAGCAAAGTAGAGCAGGGCTTCTCGCTGACCCTTAATGGGCCATGTGGCATGATTTAGAAATAAATCTTTGCTATTTTAAGTTGTTGAAATTTTGGGGTTGCTATGATAGCATAACTTTGATATTTTAACTGACAAAGAAACATCCCCATCGTTCTGGATGAGAAGATTAGGTATTTGGAGGGTGAGAGGAGGGAGAAGATCAAGAAAAACAACCAATGGGTACTAGGCTTAATACCTGGGTGATGAAATAAACCATACAACAAACCTCCATGACACAAGTTTACCTATATAACAAACCTGCACTTGTACCCCTGAACTTAGAAAGAATACTAGTTTCACATTTTTTTGAAAACTGAAAAATTCAGTCCAGATTTTCTGATTGATTAAATATATACTAATAAATAAGACATTTATGAGAAAGAATAATGAGGTGATACTTGTACTGCTAGATAACAAAAAGAACAGTCAAGTTAGCACTTACTGAACCCTTACCACGTAAGTGTCATGTTCCATGTTTTACACCTTAACTCATTTAGTCCTTAAAACACTCCCATGAAGTAAGTTCCATTATTATGGCTGTTGTACAAATGGGGAAAAGGAGGCGTGGAGATTTGAACTCAGTCTTATTCCAAGTCCATGCTTTTTGCTGCTGTTACCCAGTCTCTCTAGAGTAGTGCTTCTCAAACCTGAGAGGAAGGACTAATTGTTCCTTTGTCTTTTTTCTTCCTTCCTTCCTTCTTCCCTCTCTCCCTCTCTTTTTTTTTTTTGACCGAGTTTCACTCTTATTGCCCAGCCTGGAGTGCAATGGTGCGATCTCAGCTCACTGCAACCTCCACCACCCCGAGTTCAAGCAATTCTCCTGCCTCAGCCTCCCAAGTAGCTGGGATTATAGGCGCCCGCCACCACGCCCAGCTAATTTTTTGTATTTTTAGTAGAGACGGGGTTTCACCATATTGGCCAGGCTTGTCTGGAACTCCAGACCTCAGGTGATCCACCCGCCTCAGCCTCCCAAAGTGCTGGGATTACAGGCGTGAGCCACCATGCCTGGCCTGTTTTAATTTCTTACCTGTCATGGAACAATATTTCATAAAATATAATCAAAATGGATTATTAAGAAAATGAAATTAAAAAGCACACAAAACACAAGCCTCCATTTTTATTATTAAATTTGTCAGATATTACTTTTAAAATTTCTATACAGTTTCTAAATGGTTACTCTCAACTTCTATACTTACCTCATTATGAAACATTAACAATTTGTGAACTGGCACTAGTCCATGAACCAAACTTTGAGTACTTCTGCTCTAGATTTCAAAATCAGATGTGGATATATGTGTAAAAATTTGGTATATAAAAAAGATGCTTTTCTAGATGGGTAGAATAAAAGATTGTTCAAATGTCTTATGGTCTCACAATCCAGTGGTCATAACTGCAAAACTCATCCAGCTTTGGGAGACGCTGAAACTCCATTTAATGATAAGAACTTGAAGGATGTTAAATGTAAACCTAAATTGATTTTCACTTCAACTCCTTTTGGGTACATAATTACTTTTACCTAGAATCTGTTCTTGACTTTACTCATAACAATTGTACCATGACCTCACTGTCTGTCTCCAAGATGAGACAGAAAAAAACCCTTCAAGTGGACCTGGCCAACAAGACTGAATCTATTAAGCCTATTGGGCAAGTTAGCCTTTGCTTAACTTTCCCCATCCCCTTCACTCCAGCCTTAGCTGGGATGCTTTTATATAATTTTCAGAGCATGGAAGACAGACAAATAGAGCTTCCTCCTGCCATTGGCCCATGCTTTTACGGGAGCAAAAGGCAAAAGATTGAAATCAATGACCAGGATGATGCCATGCCATGGTACTCTGCAGGATTTCTGGCAAGGATTATGGATCGTAAATTTCAAAATACCGTAACTAGGACTTCTAGTCACAAGGTAGATGTGGAAATGATGGTCCAGAGGTATATTTCGAGGCTTGGCATGAAGCACATGAGAGAAGACAGAAGCATGGCCTATCAGCTGATGTCATCATCCTCTAGTCAGGATGGAAACCAGGGCATTGGATGGAAATAAAGTAAAGTCCCTCAGGTGATTTCTCCATGTAAAACCTGGAATCAGGGTTCAGTGACAGCAAAACTCAGTGCCCTTTAACTCCCCAAGTCTTCAAAACTCATTTCTAGACCAGAGTGTAGTGGTATTTCTCCGAGATAAACCCACCAAACCAGGACAAAATCCCTGTAATAGCCTTCACTTGTCTTCTACAAGTCCTTGAATTCTTGGCTACAGAAGACATTTCCTTCTTCTTTAACCCTTAGAAAGAAAGGGCCTGAGGAAACTAAAGTCACTGGTTTCAATCTTTTGCCTTTCGCTCTCCTAAAAGCATGGGCCAAGGGCAGGAGGAAGCTCCAGTTGTCTGTCTTCCACGCTCTGAAAATTCTATAAAACACCCCAGCCAAGGCTGGAGTGACAGGGAGGAGGAAAGCAAAGGCTAACCTGCTCAACAGACTCTTTCTTTTTTTTTTTTTTTTTTGAGAAAGGGGCTCCCTCTTTCCGCCCAGACTGGAGTGCAGTGGCCGGATCTCAGCTCACTGCAAGCTCCGCCTCCCGGGTTTACGCTATTCTCCTGCCTCAGCCTCCCGAGTAGCTGGGACTACAGGCGCCAGCCACCTCGCCCGGCTAGTTTTTTGTATTTTTTAGTAGAGACGGGGTTTCACCGTGTTAGCCAGGATGGTCTCGATCTCCTGACCTCGTGATCCGCCCGTCTCGGCCTCCCAAAGTGCTGGGATTACAGGCTTGAGCCACCGCGCCCGGCCAACAGACTCTTTCATATGACTGAATTTTAGGAATATAATGAAGTTCTTTTATGGGCCAGGCATAATGGCTCATGCCTGTAATCCCAGAACTTTGGGAGGCTGAGGTGTGCAGATCACCTGAGGTCAGGAGTTTGAGACCCACCTGGCCAACATGGTGAAACTTCGTCTCTACTAAAATACAAAAATTAGCTGGGCGTGATGGTGGGCACCTGTAATCCCAGCTACTCGGGCGGCTGAGGC